TCCGTTTCACGTAAAAAAAATACGTGAATTCAATACCTAATTGCAGAATAATATTTCGCAAATGTTATGCGATAAAGAAAAATGGGCTTGTTTAACAACAACAAATTCTGGACAGAGTGAGTAACTCACACTTGCTCCATTATAGCATGATGATAGGTATGGGGTAGATATCGTTGCATTGTGGGAAGCCAACAGTGGTCAGAATTGGTAATCTACCCCCTGCCAGAGGGTCACCAAAGGAGATGAGTAGTGCCCCCAGGGTCAATCGAGCAGGGAGACACTTTGACTGAGAGGACAATTTAATTTAATGTTCTTATTTAACCAGGTGAATACCCCCCTCCCCCCTGAGGTGTATTATCCTTTTGCTAAGGAAAAAAAAGTAATTGCCTGCAGCGTACCACTAATGGCAGCATAGAGCAATTGGTATACATTTCACATAATCTAAAACTAAACGTAGGGCCCACGGAGTTGTATAGCGCTTTTTCAGAAGCAACCTGGCCACAAACGATAGCCCAATGACGTGGCTTATCATGTGGACATTTATAGCAGGCCAAATACTCTAAACGCGTGTTTCTAAATGTGGAGGGAAAAACCCGGAGGACCTGGGGAAAATTCCATGCCACCACGGGGAGAGACACGCACACTCCAAATATACAGCAGGCGTCAGGGTCAGGATCGAACCCATCACCTTCACTTCTTTCGCCACCGTCCGTAGCCAACCGTGCAAATCGGAGGTGCGCATGTTTATAAATGTGAAGGGAAAAGCTGGTGGACGCGGAAAAAAAATCCGTGCGACCACGGGGAGACCGTGCAAACTCCAAACATTCAGGCATCAGGGTCGGGATCGAACGCAGGACTTGCTGTATACCAGGTGAGGCAGTTGACATCTCGCCACCGTGGCGCCAATATAGTGGGACCAGTCTTTCAAGAGAAAACACATTAATCACTTCCCACAAAGTAGTGCTTGTTTTCTAAATGCGGGTGAAATTTTGTGTTAAGACGATTATAGGGAGATTTTGTGTAAATGTAGCTGCACAATCAAAGTAAAAATTTCAGCCCTTGGTTGATCCACTGTTAGACAAGGGCCATGTTTGGTCCTGCAAGTTGCTTGGCCATACTTCACCACGCTGATCAGTGTGGGTTGGTAAGGGCCGATGGGCAGGCCCGTTTGAGATATTGCTCCACACTGATATTAGCTTTGGCCAAGAATCTAAATCATGCTGCATGGTCAATAGTAGTGTGATAACTACCCTGAGTTACATGAGAACTGCGAGTACTATTATTTGTATGCAATTTGGTGAAGTTTTTTTTGCATTTTCACATTTTGGACTTGGGCTTAGATTCCAGCACACAAAAGGGACTAATCTAATGAATGGTGAGATCACAGGCACTGTAGAGAATATAATGCACTTCAAACTATGTCTGCTGACTCAACAGCAGCGGTGGAAATTGGAGTGCCAACTCACAAGTTGAACTGCCAACTCTGAGCAACTGAAGTGCTCACTCAGAGCCAGCACCACTGACCAGTCGGCTGTCCCAGGCTCACTGTGGCAGCTGACATCCTATTTCGTATTACTTCATTCTTACTTTGTGTGGTGTATGGAAATTTTTTTTTTAAACTGGCACAATAGAGGAATGCTGCCTGGGTGTAGCAGTTATTCCACTGGACCTTCAATTCATGAGGTCACCCCGGGACAGTTTTGATCGCCCCGATGTGGCAGTTGAAACAATGGGGAAAGTTTCTTAATCGTCCCTGGCTCTGTCCACCCAGCAGTGAACTCCTTGGATCACTTCTACAGAAATAACCAGCAGTGGCATTGCTCCCATAATGCAGCGTGACCTCTCAAACAACAAGGCCCACCACCCTTACTTGCCTGGCACAACAACTCAACGATGCTCTGCTTTGTTCACATCAGGTGTAAGACCTAAACTTAATTTTCACTACATGTGACAGGACAAAATGGGTTTCACAAATTGCCAGAGTCGGCTGTGTCAAGTGGAATTAGTGTGGCGAGCGAGGGGGAAAAAAAACTATTAATCATTCAATTATTGCCACTGCCAATGCTTGACATTAGCCCTCACACGCCTGAGTGTGGCATTTCAAACTCAATGAAACTTGCTGGCCTGAGCTCTTAAAGTTTTTTCTTGTTAAAAATAGGTTATAGTGACTTTTGCCCAAACGAGCATTAAGGTGATGCTTATCTACTGTTTACGACCCTGAGCCAGTGGTAGAAATTCCACATTGCTATGGCTAGGATCAGCATATCCGTAACAATGACTCTTGACGTTCTTGCAAAGTAGTAGTCATCTTAATTAACCACTCTGGAGGAGTAATGGACTGAGACAACCCCCAAACAGGATTGGAACTTGCAACCCTCCGATCGAGGCTCCGCAGGAGAGCCAAGTCACCCGGCCGTTGTTCATGTGCAGACAAATCAACACGGCACTCAGGGCAGAGAGAGCCACAGCCACTCGAGCTACACGGCGCTGTTTTGCATTTTAAGCTTCAACCCGCCAACAACGCACGTGAACAAACATTGATAGAGAATGAAATGCAGCTCACACATGTGGTATGGTAAAGTTGGCACAGGAGGGGGGAACAGCTTGTTCATCTGCCCGTCATCTCACTCGGTCAACCCCATGGCACCTGCAGGGTCTGTCCCGTGCCCTGTCAGTGAACCTTTGACACTTCGCATGGCCTCAAAGTGCACCTGGCCTGGCACAGGCGTCTTGGTGACGTCACAGCCATTTACTGGCGAATGGCGGGTATTGGTATATGTAAATAGGTGATTCCACCTCATCAAAGACGCGTGACCAGCATGTATTGTACGTATTATGTTGAACTTATTTTGCGTCGTATGTAGCCAACCATGCTCATCGGAGGGAAGGCCAACAAACTAAACACAAAAAAGAAGTTCTAAATGAATGAGTTTTCATTTCAGATATGAAAGTTCATAGCTCCAATAGCGTCCTAATATCGGAAGGCAGAGCGTTCCAGAGGGCCACTGAAGCGCATCTGAAAGTGCGCGATGCAGCATGGAAGAGCAGTCCCAATATTTCTTGTGGAGGGGCTTCCCAAGAGTTCCCTCTGGTGGACTCCTCTGCGAGAAGAAAGTGGGACTCACAAAAGGCCACGATTTATTTTTTTCCCCAAGGTTTCCGCGGGAGTTACTTAGCCGCCTGTAAACAAGTCGCCGTGCGCGGAAACCCGCGGCACCCGCACAGTGGCTCTTCGCCTGCACTTTGTTTCAAAAATAATAATTAATTAATAACGCTCATTAAAATCCTTCAGCTCTTTGTCTCCAACGAAGTGAAAATGGTCAACCACCTGAGTATATCCGCCCATGTCCTTATTCGAATCCAACGCAAATCAATACAAGCGGCAACGCTTGACCCGAGACGGAGCAACGCTCTCGAGCAAGAGACGATTATGTTGTTTGCTGTTAATGCTGTGCTTATTGGCTTGCCGATGGAGCACATTATCTGTGTGGGGAATAGAATATTGATCAGAATACAAATGGTCAATTCGTCACAAGTAGTATTCTATCAAAAGCGCTGCCGCTAAGGCGTCCGTGTTGTTTGTGTTCCACTTGTAAACACAAAGCGTCGCGTGGAATGGGTCAGCACGCTGCGTTCACAGCCACAATTGCCTTGGATTGAATGCTGCTCAATGCAAGTCCCGCGTTTTTTTCATGTTCCTTCAATAGGGTGATATGGACAACGCATTAAGTGCACGTTCAGTGATGTATGTATGTTGAACGTCTTTCTCACTGCACATAGCCAACCGTGCTAACGGAAGGTGCGGGGGAAGGACAACAAACTAAACACAGTGTCCACACCACAACAGTTAAAATCACGTGCTCGACGAGATACAGGCAAGCATAATTGTAAGCTTTTTTTATCATAACAATATTGAATAAAACATAACATGCTCACACACTATTTCAGAAGAAGCTGGCTGGGAGGATGGACAGGCGTCTGTTGTGTGTACATCCTTCGTCCAAATGTAAAGTTGAATCACCGCAACAATGATGGGAACTGTTTGCATGAGGATCAACTGGAAGGTGCCCCTCTTGCTTGTGCGACCGGGAGTCCCCCATGTCACAGGGGGCCCGGTCACCCACCGAGACGACAGCAATCGCTTAACGGAACTCGACAGCGTTCGACGTTACCTTGCATTGTGTTCCGCTCCCCCGAGTCCCCCACCCCCCGCCCCCCCACCGCGTTGCGCTGACGAGGCATCGAGAGTCGACGATGAACCGCGTGGTGAAGCTGCGCTCAAGCACCCCCCGACGGATGCCTGCCCAGAAGGGCACGGGAACCGGGCGGGTAGATGGCTCGCTCACTCCCGCCCGTCCTCTCACGGGATTGGTCGGAGCCGAGCGTGTAGCGCACGAAGACTAACCAATGGTGGGCACGACCTCCCGTACCATTAACCACATGCACATAAGTATGTACTTTATGCATGTTGAACTTCTTTCGCACCGTACGTAGCCAACCGTGCTAATTGTAAGTGCTGGTGAAAGACAACAAACTAGACACAAAAAGCAGTTCAAAAGACATGGGATTTCCACCGAGATTTTGAAGTGCATAGCTCCAATGGCTTCCTAATATTGGAAGAGCGTTCCAGACAGCCGTAGAAACGCACCTGGAAGCGCGCGATGCAGTGACCATCTTTGTTCGATGGAGAGCTAAAAGCCATCAAACCTCATACCTGTTGGCCTTCTTGCTGAAATAAAGAAGCTAAAAGGTTCATTTTGTGTCCCCCCCACCCTGGCTTGTCCCACCTCCGATTAGCACAAGCACTCCCAATTAGCACGGTTAGCTACGCGCGTGCGAAAGAAGTTAAACATACAGACATACATACACACGCGGGGGAGTCGACGTGAATCCTTACTATCGCCTGGATGATCCGGCTCGGCTAGCAAGTGATGATTCAGTCCACCGTTGCCTGCGCGCTGCATTGCGCCGGAAGGGCCAGTGGTTTTTCGCGAGCTCACCTTGAGGTCCCATTCGGCCATGTGAGGTGCCATCTCATTCTTGGCAAACTCCAGAGCCACCTTCTGGAACTCCCTCTGGTCGTCGGTGAGTCCTGCTCCGGCTGAAATACACGAGCACAGAAACGCAATTTTGAAAATCACAATCGGAATGTGTATTTATACTTGCGGAGGAATCTGATGAGCTGTAAAGCAATTTTTTCACAGATGTCCAGGAGGTGCGTGTCAGAAAGTTACAACTACAAACAATACAACAACACGATAGGAGTGCAAAGTATAGGAAAGGTAAGCAAATCACAAAAATTACAAATTAAACTTAAACATTTTTTATTTGATCAGGTAAAGCCCACTAAGCTATAAGCTTCTTTTCAGAAGTGACCTGGCCACAAATGATAGCTCAACGGAGTGGCTTAACATGTGTCAATGTATAGCAGCCAAATAATCAAAATAATCTAAAAGCATGTGACTAAATGTGGAGGGAAGCAGTTACATTGGTTGATGATTCAGCGCTTGCTCATTCACTCGAGTCCAAGGAGGACACGTGCAACAGACCGAGGGAGACTGCACCGAGACACAATTGAAGCAGCGATGCTGAGAACCAAATCTACAATGGTGTCATAACAACTTCGTCATAACAATGTCGTCATAACAACGTCGTCAAAACAACATCGTCATAACGTCATCATAACAATAACGTCATAACAACGTCGTCATAACAATGTCCTTTTTTATACCAAGATTATCCTCGCTTAGTCTCAAGACTGTGTTAGGAGGATCCTGAGCTCCTTTGTAAACGGGTGCTTTGGACTTGGGAGGAAACCAGAGTGCCTGGAGAAAACTCAAAAACGTGCAGCAGATAACACCAGTCACAGACACCCCACTTGCTCCAGTGCCACCTCCTGATCACCCGGCAGTCCCAGCACGTTGGGGGTTTGACAGCGTGTTGCGAAAGCTGCGTGATCATGTGTGCGCCAGAAAGACTGACAGAGGTACATTGAGGTGACCAATGGAGAGGAAACATTTAAATTGGAAATTGAGGGATCAGCCGTTTGTACATGGAAGTGACGGTGACATCACCACAGGACTTGTACCAGGCCAGGTGCACCTTGAGGCCACGTGAAGTGCTGAAGGCTTGCTGACTGGAGGTCAAGAGACAAGACCCAGGTTTGCTTGGGTTGACTGACTAGGATGACTGGCAAATGCACCACCTGTGCTCCCCACTGTGCCACCTCGGTGTGTTTTAGCCGCCCGACACTCTGCTCATTGTTGTGAGCGTCGCTCCTCTCCCCTCCGTTGTTGCTGGAGGGCGACGGCCTCCAACTGCCCAGTAGCGTCCTTCACGAGCCTCCTCCACAGAGGCCGATCTTGACACTGCTGGTACCAGTCATCGGCAAGTCCACTCAGCTCCACATCCTTCTGTACCACATCAGCCCTTCTCTTCTTTAACATGCAAACACACACATACCTCCATATATAGCCTACAGCTGCTATACTATCGCGACCTGGAATTGAATTTCGACTTTATTGTGATCGGTGCATAGATCAGCTCTAAATAACCCAACTCAAAACGCTGTAGGGTACTGTGGAAATTAAAGTCGATGTGCCCTTTGCTTAACCTACATAAAGTTTTAGGACACCGCCGATATTTACTGCGCATATACTGATGACGTATCCATACGTCATCGGAATGGGAAAGGGTTAATATGGGCTCAAATCCGAACCACGGCCAACACAAGTCCAAGAGTCAACACAAATCCAAGAGTCAACACAAGTCCCAGCCATAATCATCCCTCTGGGGTACATAAACTGAGCCCACCCGGTGATGCTGAGTAACGCAGCGAGAGTTCAGCATGTGCTTTAAGATGCCGTCGTAGTATTTAAGCTCTGTGCAAATGCAAATCCCTGTTCTTAGCAGTGCTTGGCCCGAGGATAGACTCATGCCTGCCATATGAATGTATGTTGAACTAGTTAGCCAACCGTGCTAATCGGTGGTGTGGAGGAAGGACAATAAACTAAACACAAAAGGTAGTTCTACAGAAATCAGTTTCAATCTAGATGACGATTTAAAAGTTCACAGCTCCAGCGGCTTCCTGATATCCGAATGGCCAGGCAAGAGCCGCTGCTGCTGCTGCTGAGTGGATGACCAGAGTTCGAGTGAAAACGTAGACCTTATAACACTGGCTAAGGGACATACATTTATGATGGAGACACATTATCATTGGCTTATGACACATAATGCATCTAATGCACGTGTTATGAAACAAATAATGAGTAAAGGGAAGAAAAATGCACCGTCATTCTGAAAGCGACTCCACACGTGGCCAAATTGCCCTCGAGCAACCTCAAAGATCACCTGTAAGACCACAGCCGATGATGAGCAACCCATAATCCGCCTTGAGCAGAAATCTCAATCGATAAGCTACCTATTTCCCCTCCCCAAAGTGCTCTTTATGAAAACATAAACTTAAAAAACCAAACGCAATTACAGGCACTGGACATTTCTATTTCAAGAACCAGGCCCACACACATGCACGCACACATAACTATGGAAAACAAATAGCATTCACCATAAATAGATATAATCACATGTATGCAGACACACATTTCATATATTGCAGGTGTTTAAACGTGTGTTTTACGCATCTGTACGATGCTTTTATTTAGTATTTCTATGTTTGATCGTGTTATATTCTTACAAACCTTCCCACTGCGCGTTTTACTTTCTTCTCACCCCCCCCCCCTTACCCCCCACCGCGTGAAATAAAATCTCGTCCACAAATTTCGGTGCGCTCCAACAAATGTAGAATTTCAGCAACAAAAATAACAAGGGCATGCGCATTACGTGAGTGGTAAGTCACGACAAGCGACGACTCTAAAGCATAATGCATCACCACCACCACCACGAAGATCGCGGCTCCAAGGGCAGGCTGGGAAGTCCGTTGTTTGCTCACCTTCACGGCGGTTGTTTTTTTTTTAAACGTTTCATAACCCCGTGGCTTTGGACCACCATAGTTCTTCCGTGGGCAGCGAGATACACAGCAGAATGGGCAGCTAAACTCTAACGCACATTATATCCCAATACGATTAAACTACTTTTATTTCACCTGTTAAGGCCCACTGAGCTATATAGCTCAACAAAATGGCCCATCATGTGGAAATTTATAGCAGCAAAATAGCCCTTCTGCATGACATGTAAAATTACTATCGACAGATTGAAAACTCATTTCATTAGATCTGCTTTTTGGCTTTAGTTTGTTGTCATTCCCCTGCACCTCCGATTAGCACGGTTGGCTACATACAGTGCGAAAGAAGTTCAACATATGTACATGCACACAGCTCAACTTACAAGTAGTTATTCTGTCCATCTGCCCGCTGGCAGCGATGGAAGTTCAACATACCTACAACGTACATTCTTGGGCATAGTTGCAGTTGCAGCAGCAACAAGGCCTATTGTTTCAACGGCTCCTTGTGAGCTCACATTCATTCATGGCAGTGAGGCGGAAGCCGTAACATTAAGGGAGAGCAATATCACCGGGGCTTTGGTTGGCGTGGCAATGGCTCCTAAGTGGTGCCGAACAAGGTGAAACGTTTGAGTTGTCTCAAAGAACGCCTTTAAAAGCGATCCTCCGGGGAGGCAAGGAAAGAAAAACCTGCGTCATTTGAAACGTGCTTCCACAAACGGAAGCCGCCATCGTTAATGATCAACAAACAAAAATTCCTTTGCACAATTGCAGAGCAAGGGCCCAAATGCCCAAAAACGTCACAAAGGGGGAAAGAGACGGTGGGGAGGGAACTCCAAAAGTCGAGCGGTGCCAGGGAAGAAGCAGAATAGATAAGTGCTGTGATAGATAAGTGCTGTGATAGATAAGTGCTGTGATAGATAAGTGCTGTGATAGATAAGTGCTGTGATAGATAAGTGCAGTGATAGATAAGTGCTGTGATAGATAAGTGCTGTGATAGATAATGCTGTGATAGATAAGTGCTGTGATAGATAAGTGCTGTGATAGATAAGTGCTGTGATAGATAAGTGCTGTGATAGATAAGTGCTGTGATAGATAAGTGCTGTGATAGATAAGTGCTGTGATAGATAAGTGCTGTGATAGATAAGTGCTGTGATAGATAAGTGCTGTGATAGATAAGTGCTGTGATAGATAAGTGCTGTGATAGATAAGTGCTGTGATAGATAAGTGCTGTGATAGATAAGTGCTGTGATAGATAAGTGCTGTGATAGATAAGTGCTGTGATAGATAAGTGCTGTGATAGATAAGTGCTGTGATAGATAAGTGCTGTGATAGATAAGTGCTGTGATAGATAAGTGCTGTGATAGATAAGTGCTGTGATAGATAAGTGCTGTGATAGATCAGTGCTGTGATAGATGAGTGCTGTGATAGATAAGTGCTGTGATAGATAAGTGCTGTGATAGATAAGTGCTGTGATAGATAAGTGCTGTGATAGATAAGTGCTGTGATAGATAAGTGCTGTGATAGATAAGTGCTGTGACCTGCAGTGCAGTCGTTAAACAATGTAGAGCCGAGACGACACCGTCAGTCCCGGTAAACAAAGTCGTCAACACGGGCGGCATGCTTGCTTGTCACCGTACAAAACTCATTTGCAGAGGCGTGGGGAGAGAATATTGTTGCTTAGGGAGCATTGAAAATCCTGACAGCACTCCCTGGATTTGAATGGAGGTGCAATTAATAGGAAGTATTTTGGAAAACACTTTGATTAATTAAACACTTACGTAGTGTTGATGTCAGAAACTACATCGTGATCGTGTAATTTCAATTCTTGTAACAAAGACATTAACGGTTTTATCAGAATAAAGATAGTAGCTGGAATAGTGATTTAGTACCCGGAAGAAGCCTTGCCGAGTGTCCGAGGCATTTTAATGGAAAGGTCCCGCTTAGAATGAATGTTTGGACAATTCATTCCGAGCAGCTTTGTATGTGGCTGCTGAGTGCCATACCCTGAGACACCCCACGCGTGAGCGGAGAACACAGTCAGAATCCTATCTGCTCGACTGCCTTTGCAGGCACCCAACTGCTATGCTGATGGGTGTGTCTGTAATTTCTTTCCCTCCATCTCCAAGTTACTGGATTGTGCC